GGATGACTTCCTGGAGTCGGATGACTTCCTGGAGTCGGATGACTTCCAGTTGAGTTTGCTGGTTTTTGCGGTGGTGATGATGAAGTAGAGGGATTTTGACCTGTATATTCTTTAAAGCCAGGTTTATATACTACTTGAGAAGAGTTTTTATTATTACTTTTTGTATCTATAAAAACGTCAACTCCATTGAATGTTTCAGTGATTTCCAATGTATGTACGCATAATGTTCCTACTACATCATTTGTAGTTTGATCTATAACTTGTTTAACTTCGGTAGATTGTGTATTTTTTTCCGTGGTCATTAAAATATATGTATAAGTTGCACTATTTACAATATATATTTTGTTTATAGTCGCTGAACATTTTGAAAATAGAATTGAATATTTTAATTGTGTTATTGTGATTTTTTCATATACCCAAGAATCTAAAGTCGATTTATCATATTTTGCTGCTTTTATTTGTACATTTATATAATTTGTTTGACATATAAAAGTTTGAAAAACTAGTTTATTTATTACCATTGGGTACATATTCTGTGGTATACACATATCTGATGTTGGTAATAAACTATTGTCTTTATTAATTAGTCGCATATCATAACGAGCTGCATTAGTATTACTCCAAAGAATATCTTTATAATATTTATCAATTGTATTGACTTTATATTGATTGTAATCAGTTGTAATCATGCTTCTATCGGGATTAAAGTTCAACGCTCGCTTATAATGCACCTCAGTAGATTTTACAACCGTTAAAAGCATTTTATTCACACAAGTATATAAGGTTGTCATTATTTCTTTATGTTCATTAGAATTACCGCCATAACAATTTTCAGCTTCTTCTTGTGTATTTTTTATAAAGATGTCTATGTTTCTACTCATGTACTCAAAGTTCGCTCTAACTAAATTTACTTGTTCCCACATCATAACTCTTAGTGCTAAATCAGTTTTTGAATGATACACAGATTTTAAATAAATAACAACCATTGATTCTTTATAAATTTTATACATTTGATTGACCGTCTGAGAAAATAGTTCAGATGCGTTATTATCATTTTTTCCAAAGTACTTTGATAAATCGTTAGTTTTGTATATTTCCTAGAAAAAAATATGAGAATTCTAGATACTTACAAAATCATCTAAATTAATAAAGCAAATGAGTTAAAAAATAAAAAATAATATTTACAAACCAGTAGTGATTGATCGGTATTTGGAGATCCTTCACACAAACTTATTCCACTACCAAACATAAACGCTTCTCTAATTGATGTGTACACATTCGTATTATTAACTATTTTTTCTCTAGCGTCGTAATACTGTTTCACCTGAGTAGCCCATTGTTCTTTATCAATATTATCTATATTATTCTGTCCACTATTAAAATTTGATTTTATAGATTTAACGTCATTCATAAAGTTAATGTAATCTGATTCACAGCGTTTTGCAGTTAGAATTGATTGCGCTTTTTTAATTTCTGTTACTTCACCGAGAGTTGTTTCTGTTTTTTGAACAGTTACCTCTTTGTTTAGGTAATAGTTACTAGTCATATAGAGTACAGAATTAACTTTCTCTTCTGTTTCTTTTTCGATATCGCTTTGTGAGCTAAATATATTTTCTAAATTGCTTGAGCTATTTTTAAATTCCATTTTTAAATTTGTTGTAATATCATTTGAACTCTCATCAATTTCAATAAATCCACTGTGAATATAATTTTTTGATGAAAGCATACATTCAACCGAAGTTATATATGATGTTTGAACTGTTAGTTGATAATGGTATACATATTCGACAGCATTTGGTACACCTAAATTATCATAAGTAGCTGGCGCTAAAGACGAATCATCACACTAAAAATTTAAATTTAATTTAAAGTATTTTATTAGTCTGTTAAATATCTAAATTAATTAATTTTTAATTATTTTATATAATTATCAATAGTTTTAAATATTAGATCTTAACAATATATTATTACATTATAATAATAGAACAGTCTTTATTGCAATGCAATAATTAAAAGAAAAAATTGATTCCAAGCAACATATTACATGTAGAGCAACCGTTATGTATTTTTTACTTTTAAGCAAGGTATTTATAAAAATTTATTTACTAGTAAATTTAATTACAATTATAAATTTATAAAAAAAAAAAAAATTCTAATTAAAACTTTACTATTTTAACTACTATATTTTGAGATATCAGAATACTATATATTACAAAATATAAGTATAAACCCACTATAGTACTATGATATACTAAATACAGGACTTAAATGAATAAAATAATTAAATACCTTTAAAAAAAATAATTAAACTGTAATTTTTCCAGGGGTAATATAATCAAACATAATATATAATATTATATATCAAGACGTAATAGAATAGTAGCCAAAAAATAAAAAAACCGAAAAATCTTAAAATTTCAATAAAACCAACTATTCTATGTTATAATAAACTTCCCTGATGCACATCATTTTCTTCTAGCCATAACACCAGATTTAGACGAAAGTAAACATGTACGTTTTACACTTATACATTATTAAGTTTCTTACATAATATAAACATTTCATTTTTTTTTTTTTTTTTTTTTTAATTGATTATTTACTACTAACAATAACGCATTCAAATGTCACGTCTTACTATAGTCCCTTTTTAATATAAATTCAATACTAAAATTCATAATATTTAATATCTACAATTTACATAATTTACATGACATTTAAATAATAAATTAATATTAATTACTAAGTAGTTAAAAGTACATTTCTTCACATTTCATTTAATGAATAGTTTTAAAAACGAATTTAGTGTTAGTACTAAGGTATAATTGATGTATTCACGCATACAGACTATTTTGTACCACACATTATCTACATTTTACCAAAGTATGCGTTTTTTAATCATAAAAAACCATAAAATAATTCTTAAAATCAAAATATGATTTTTTTATCCAAGAAAATCTTAACTAATAAAAAACTAATACACTAAGAAATAATAAAATATCTCACTTGAGCAACTCCTATAAATATAAAAAAGCAGAGTAACTGCATTTTGCAGTATAATTATCGTCTAAATAACTGGATCAACTGAAATAAAAAAAACAATATTACATTAAACGTTTATACGATGAAGTACTGATTCAGTGAACAAATACAACGATTAAGTAATCAAAAGTATATATTTCTCACAAATCATTATTTTTTTGAATTAACGACCTAATTAAACATAAAACAAACAAGAATGTTTTATAATGTTTAATGTTTTATTTGTTTTATAATCAAAAAATTATAATATTAAGTAAATACAATAAAACTAAATGTTTATATTAATTACATTTTGGTTGACAAAATGAAAAACAATGAGGGAAGTCACTCTACTACATAGTTAAGTTGGTTTGTATACACCTCTTTATTGAGTAAAAGTTTAACTGTAATGAATATGTTAACATTGAATTCGATGATAAATAATAATTGCACTAGGAAAACGATAATGCGCGGAAGCGGTGTGTTATGCTCTAATTCTAAAAATAATTTATAATTTTTTCTTCTATTAGTGGTAGGTTATATTAAAACACATTTTCTAAAAACATAGTTTTTAATAATTATTATTATATAGTTAGTAAATGTATTTAGTTTATTAACATTTTTACCCATTAGAACTTTTAAATCGATACCATCGAACAGTAAAAAAATGATTCGTGGCATTAATAGTTTAAAATAAATTATTAAATAAAATTTTATAACACAATATTAGATCACCTATATTTTACATTATTATACTTCTTAATATTTTATATATTGATTACCAATTAGTAATTTTTAATTATTTTTTATAAACTTGATTTCGTGTACAAGAAATAGTAACAAAATAATAGAAAAATACCCAGAATCCTAGTTACGATTAATATTTTTTTTAATAACAACAAAATATCTAAAATTTTTAAAACAAAAATCTTATTAATTTCCATTTCAACTTATAACGTTGTCAAAATTCGAACTTAAAATGTGTATAAAAAATAATGGTTATTAATTTTTTAATTGTTACAAAAAAAAAAAAAAAAATCGTTTTTATCGAAAAATTTTTTGTGGATATCAGTATATTATGTAATAATAATTTTTATTTTTTCTTAATTTTTGTATAATACACTTCTACTTCTTATTTTCTATTTTTCATCTTCCAAAGTGTATTCATTTTACAATAAAAAATAAGCAGTATAGATAAAAAAAGCTAACTAACATCATGTTATAAATAAAAACAAGGTCCATTAGCCCATACTAGTAGACATCGTGAAAATGTTAAATAACAAATGAAGGACAAGCTGGAAAAACCCTGCATAACGTTTAATTATTGAAGTACAATATTCTATTAAAATTAAGAAGACAAATAGATGATCGACTAGTGCGCAAAAACGTGACATTGCTATACAGCACTCAAAATTAGTACAGTGTCGCCGACGACAAAGGAAAAAAGTCGTTTTAAACATGTAATACAATACTGCCTTACGATCACTTCCCTAGCCAACTCCACACTCCACAGAGCCGTGTTAAGAGTGGGAAAGCAAAGGGGCCATTGCCCCCGGGCGCAGTAGTTTTGTAAAAGTAAAGGAGCGCTTTTATTTACCCTTAATATGCTACCTGTGACCCCGAAAACCAAATATGTTACAATTTTATAAATAATAAACAAAGGACACCTTGGTGAACAATGACAAAATAAAACTATTTAGCCTTTCTCAACGAAAATTTCTACAAAATTCGTTATAATTTTATTGATTGTTGTCTCTACTGACTATTGACTAAGTAGGTACTGTGTATTACCATTACTATATACTTACTGTTGTCGCTGGTTTTTAATGGACTGTATAATTTTTAATATATAATTTTCATTAATATAGAAATATATAATTTATTTTAAAAATACTGAGACAGACACGGTGACGAGCATATGTACATGGATACACGGTTAAACACACACTAAAATAGGTAACATTCGTACATGGATCGGATCGACATTGGCGATCATAAGATAACATAACAATAGATAATAATAATAATAGTGACATTTCTGAAGTATAATATACGCGTCGACACTTACTATATATAGTAATTAATATTTATAATCAATAATATTACGAACTGCTAAGATAAAATATTAAATCATGGATTCAGGCTTGAATTGAACCGGTGAGCTACCGAGAAAATTTGGGCTGGTCATGATCATGATTAAGCTTAAGCTAAAAGCTTTTATTTTAAAATAAATATAATATATTGTATTAGCATATATATTGTTGCATATTTCCAGTTCTAAACTTACTTATTAATGGTAACCAACTTTAGGCATTTTATAAATATATGTGTTCATATTTCTATTTGGTATTCTTTTAAATGCAGTATAAAGATAAGTGAAAAAAATTGCCTCTGCTTATTTAAGAGATAACTTAATACAATGTATGTTGGGTAATTTGTAAACTTGCTATAGAGAAACTATCATGAAATAATGCACATCAACTTCAAGTAAATTAAAAAAAAAAAATAAATAAATATTTTTTCCTTGGAGTGTAAATGAAATAAGAGATGCAACATTTTTGTCAAATGGGTCCATTAGTAATTTCGGGTGAGGGAGACATTTTCAAAAACCCCCAAATTATTGAATATTAGAGTTGAAGTCTTCGTTGCTTTTCATATATAATAAAATAAAATCTCCACCTATGAATGGGCCGATAGAAATTTAAAATCTCAGTGAACCGAAAAGTCTCAATCCAGCGCTGCATGGATTTATAAAATATATTTGCTCGTATTATAAGGTCTATTTCAGAATTATACATTTATAGTACAATCGGCGCCAAATAGATTGGCATAGCGATGACGGGCAATAAAGAAATGCGCTTTTCTCTATATTAGCATTTTATTGCTAAATATAACTAAATATTTTTAAATCGATGTTAGTAATATACTTATATAGTTATATATATATATTACTAGGGCCCGGAACATGATGATGACCTAAAAATTTTTTAAAAATGCACTCAAAAAAGTATTAAAATGGCATTGATCAAACAATGAACTTAAAAATACCAAAACATAACTTATCATTTTCAAAAATTACGTTTTTTAATAATAAATCATCCAAAAAATCATGGTTTTTAATTTAATATTTTTTAATCATTTATTTATTATTTTATTCATCAATGCTAATATTTTCGTATATTAAATATGTTTTTATACAGACTAAAGGGTCTAAATTAAATTTAAAACAGAGATAAGAAATAATGTGAGCAATACAAAAAAAAATCAGTATTTTTAGAAAAATAATTAAAAGATTGGGCTATACAATAGGTTGGTTTTTTCAAATATTTAGTTTTATCAAAATAATAAAAAAAAAATGTAAAAATGCAAAAAATCTAACTTAACGAACGAACCCAAGAAATTTTATATTTGCAGTTGTGTCTATTAAAGATAGACAATATTGTACCTTTGACAATTAATATGATATTTTATCACAGTTGTACACCAGAAACCAGTTTGGTGTTTGTCCGTTGTCTCTAGATGAGGTAGTACATGTAGAAAAATCATTGAGGAAAATTACAGGTTTAATGACAGATGGTGGTAGTCAAGGTTACAAAAGAAATTCATGTAAACAAAAATGTGACACCAATCAGTATAAATGCAAATCGTCTAACATTTTGGGCAATTCGAAACGTCATGGAAATATACTATGTAATAATAAAGAATAAACATTTAATTGTATACCTAATTAAAATAATATTTCAAAAAATAATTTTTTAATAATAATTATTATATTATATTATTAATATTGTGCCTTGAATGTATTTAATATTTTTAAAAATTTAAAATTATTTTATCACATGTATGATACATTTTTATAATTGTAAAGACATCAACAAAAAGTTCTTGGTATAATATATTTACATTCATGAATAAAATATGGAATTTTTGAAAAATATATAAGCCCTTTGGAAAACATAAAAACTGATTGGGAATTATGTAAGCTCTTTGGATTATATTATATAATACAAAAACTAATTGAGAATTATCTAAGCTCTTTGAAAAATATAAAAATTGATAGAAAATTAAATAAGCTTTTTGAACATAGACCTTATACTCATAGACGGAGCTTGCTAGTAGTTCCCGCAGTGAGAATAGGGTGCGCTGCACATGTTGTTGAACACTTCTGCGCATGCTCAATCAACAAACCAGGTTGTGTAGCCTCTTATTTACTGCACGGACTAAGATATACTAGGTATATCTTAGTCCGTGATTTACTGTTTGGTGTTTACATTATGCTGTGTAGCTGATATGCTAACTCAAATTTCAAATTCAGACACCACAAAACAAATTATATGGTAAGTGTTAATAACAATGTTTTTGATCTCAAGGAATGGCATCACTGTTGGCAAGCTAGAAATGACCGCACCACCCACCCGCATCCCACCTGGATGCTCCGTCTATGAGTATAAGGTCTATGTTTTTGAATAATAAAAATTGATAAAGATTATACAAGCTCTTTGGAAAATACAAAAACTAATCGAGAATTATACAAGCTCTTTGGAAAATTTAAAAATTGATAAAGAATTATGTAAACTCTTTGGAAAACAAAAAACCTGTGAATTGTTTAAGCTCTTTGGAAAATATAAAATTTGATTGGGTATTATAAAAGTTTATTGGAATATATATTAAGTTTTTGGAACATTTAAAAACTGATTGAGAATCATAAAAGTTTACTATAATATTTATATTTAAGCTCTTTGTAATATTTAAAAACCGATCGAAAATTATATTAGCTTTTTGGAAAATATATAAATTCTGGAAAATTTATCAACTTTTTGGCAAATATATAAGCTCTTTAGAAATTATTCAATTATATTCATTGTTTAGCTCATTTCCATTTATGGTTACATTTTTATTCTTAATTGTAACTAATCTGTACCTTAGTCAGTTAGTCATTGATTAAATTATTAAACATATTATTATGTCATATATATCTGATTTTATTATTATACTTTTAGCTTCTTTGATGTGCTTTTCGTTTGTTTTTATGTCACCCCTTCTTTTTTTCAAAAGGTATGTCGTGGTCCTCACAAAACTAATAGTGTTCAAATTTTCATATTTCACGTACAA